CTCTCTCTCTCTCTCTCTCTCTCTCTCTCTCTCTCTCTCTCTCTCTCTCTCTCTCTCTCTCACACACACACACACACACACACACACACACAATCCATCTGTGGATTGGCCCACTCTTTCTTTCCTTACCTTCCCTTCCTTTCCCTTTGCTCCCATCTGCTTTCGACCTTCCACTCTTCCTTCCTTCCCCTAACTCCTGCTTTTGCTCCCTTCCCTTAACACCTTCCTAGAGAGATATGGAGCAGGGGGGAGGAAAGAGAGGGGAGGGGAAGGAGGAGAAGGGAGAAGTGGAGAGAGGACTGGGAGGAGAGCTTCTGATCTTCCTTCTTCTCTGCAAGCACACGACAGCTGTTAGCCAGTCCTTAACACCCTCGCATCAGACTTGAGCCCGCAAAAGATTGAATTGACAGTGCTCTAGGTGAGGGGTGGTGCATCCTTCCTTGCCGTCCTTCGGGCCTCCCCACCATAAGGGGGAGGAGCGTGGGTTTCTGACTTGCTGGTGGAATAGGAACTAGACTGATGCTCCCCAGAATGGAAAAGGAGCCAGAACCCTGAGGTTCTGTTTTGCAGACAGCGTGGAGAAAGTGAAGTAACAATGCAATCACACATAATCTGCAACAGATGCAGTGAAGCATTGGGTTAGGAGGGCTGAACAGCCCTTCCAACCCCAGAACAGATAAAGGAACTTACCTTCGCAACTTCTTCCCATGTCTGCGCACCGTCCCTGGATAAATATGTGTTCACCTGAAATAAAGAAATAAAATGTCAGCATGTGTGTATAAGCTTACATAAACAGCATAACTGATGGATTCACTACAGTCCTCACAAGCCAACATTGACTTGTGTGTATCATTGCAGTGTATGGCTTCATGCAGAGTCGAGGCCAAATCTCTTTTTCACGCACAGTGGAGGGTTTGTCCTGTAAGAGCTGAACCCTTTGTTTCGTGGAACTTCCTTGTAAGCGTTGGTTTACTGGATAAAAACTGCATGGACACGGAACCCATTGTTTCTTGGACCAGTGGCATGAGGATAAAAACTGCATGGACACGGAACCCATCGTTTCTTGGACCAGTTCGCAAAAGAAGCGTTTACCGTTCAGTTGGGCTGGGCCCTGGACATATTCAAGGGCCTGTTTGTCTTAACCTAATGTTATATGCTGCCTTGAGAAGTTTGTGTTTTCCATTTCTGATGCTTCACTCTGACATTCAGAGGGATTTACATATTTTGTGTG